GTTTTTTTTTTTTTACATGTCTTAAGCACATTATATCTGAGAATCAAAGTCATTATCTTAAACATACTGTCATTATTCAAATAACTGTGAAACCATGACCATGACCATGACCTTCTATCTTTGTCGATGGGGAAAATCTTGTCCGTGCAAGTTTATGTTACTTGGAAAGCAATATCCTGCAGACTACAGAGAGAGTCACACACACGTACACACAAATAATGTATCCGCTTAGTGGTTTAGTTTGATTAATGGGCTTGTATACTGCATCTTGCTCACCCTACTAAGGAATTTGCTCTGTTGCTACACTTATACACACACACACGCACACACACACACACACACACACACACACACACACACACACACACACACACACAACAACACGCAGACCAGTTATGCTTTTTGTGTCTTCTGTTATAAAAAAATCCAGTGTTTCCTGTCAGTTGTCCTGTTGTGTGTCATATGTTCAATTTTAAGGATAATTTTACATGAACTTTGGCACTTGAACAACATCCGAACAACGGCTTAATCAGATAAGATGTGTGGCCCAATCACAATTGCTCAATCTGTTTTTATGTTATCGATCATAAGGTGTGATGATAGTCTGTTAAATGATGACAAAAATATGGCTTTATTTTACACAAGTACAGGGTCCTTCTTTGTGCTGCAATACATACTACCGGTATACTAAAATATCCAACATCTTCTTTAAAGCTGCTATAATCAATGTTTTTAGACAAATAATGGAACAAAAATTAGCAAGCAACTCCATCAGGAGCTGGTGGAAACCAAAACAGAGCTCATTAGACTATACTAATTAGGTAGGGGAAAAAAACCTTCAAATAAATTCTTATGTTGGTCCGCGTCTGCTGGTTATATAAATAAGTAATAAGCTAATTAGTTCACCATAACATCTTTTTAAAGTGACACTATATCAGGGTTGAGTTGCGCCGCCCCCAAGTGGAAAAAAAGAAAGCAATTAGGTGAAAAACCTCCCTGAATTGTTTAAAATAACCCGTTTAACTATATGGATGGGTGGATGGATTCAGTTAATGTTGCCTAGATTACCTGTGTTTTGCTATTCATGGTCCACCATATGTGCTTAAGCCTCTAATAGAATGAATTTGACTAAAGGTTGACAATCCTGCTCAGCAGACAACCAGATTTGCATTCAAAGGGTATCAAAGTTAATGACATTCATCCCTTTGTGTCTTAGGACAGTGAGAGGAAACGTGATTACTCACAGGAAACAAAGGTGGTGAGAACAAAGTAAAGAAGCACACAAATCCAAACCACAAACAAATAAGGAACTTTTCCTTAAATGGCAAGGCCCATATGACAATGTCAGAGAATTAATCACAATCTAACTGTGCATATTAGACCATCTACCAGAGAAAGAGAGCAATTTATAAAACAAGCATTGAAGCCATATCAGCAATTCATGATCAAATTGAGATGTTTTACTATTTTCCTGCTTGATTACTTTTAACTATTTTAAAGGTGAAGAATGTTGACCAGAAAATTAAATTTTCCACACATACAAGCCAATGAAATTGCGGTTTATTTTTAGCTGCCAGCACCTCTTAAAGTCGTTTTTCTTTTCAGTTCATTGAATACTTTTACCTGACCTTCAATTGTCTGAAGTGAATGTAACAGGAGCAGTTCCAAGACCAGCAAACTCTGCATGTACATTTTTATTAGAAACACCAGCACAACCTCATCTGGCTTCACCCCTGCCTGACTTCCTCCGAGAAACAGCAGCATTGTGGGGTTTGAACTAGGGGGTAACACACTGGTGACAGGCATGGCGGCCACAGACATAATTGAATAAAGATTCCAGTTGTTCTGAAATCCCCAGTTTTAGCCTCTGGGTCTTTGAGGTGGGCCCCAGAAATCCGAGGAATGAGAGTCCTTCCCCGTGCTGTCGGCACTGTGGACACATTTTAATCCTGCACCACTGGGAGAATGCTAATGAGAAGTGCTCGGACGACGGAGGCAGTGGATTGTGTGTGTGTGTGTGTGTGTGTGTGTGTGTGTGTGTGTGAGTGTGTGTGTGTGTTGAAAGCATTGACAAGCACTGAGCCTTGAACCTGAATGACCCATGGTCCTATAATATATTTATGGGAGGTGTCACACAATATAGCTGGGTGATATCTAAAATGCCGGCCCTAGAAATAATGTACAGCTTCCAATGACGAGTCAGAGCTTTCAACAAGCTGATACACATCTCAGTACTCTGCTACTAACACAAACACAGGAGTGGTCTCGGGTGGAGTTTCACTGTGATGTTGGCTTTAAATACACAATGACATCATCACCTGGTCATGTTGTGTGTTGTGTTTTTTTCTACGTTATGTCCTGTAGACTTTTACTCTAGTACTCTACTCAAGTTAAATTTTGAGGCACAGTACTTTTTACACAATTTCCACTTTACACCTCTACTCCACGATATTTTAAGGACATTCATAAATACTAAATATTGTACTTCACACCACTACATGTATTTGTTAGTTTAAGACTACACATTCAGATTAATAACCCCAAAATATAATTGACAAATACATTATCATGTAATGTGATGGAATAAGATGGTTGTAATAAGTGACACAATGGCTTGTGTAGTCTAGGACAAGGTCACAGAAAGGTCACTGGTCCACACCTTCATTAAGCCTCATTAAGAGTTTGATGACTAATTTTTATCAACATTATCATCCAACTATATTTTATTTCTAACAATCTCCTGCACGCAGACTGATTCACTTGCTGATTTTTGATTTTTTTTTATAAATAAGAGAACATGAAATATGCCATTGATGATTATTAGACTATTACTGGTGATGGATGGTTATGTTACAGTGAGATTATATGAGAACAGTCACCAACATAGTGAGGCAGAGTGAGGCATGTAATGGATGGCAGACTGCTTCCATCTAGTGGCTGTTACTTAACATTACATTTTCTGAAAACCTGTACACAGTGTAGTGTTTTACTGTCAATGGGTTTGACTCACAGCTCATTTACTATTACATTCATAGTTTTTAGAGAAGCTGATTTAAATGAATGGAAACGTATTGAGATGTTAGACGACATATAAGCAGCCAGGTGCTCCTTTAAAATGAAATAAGCATTAGTGTTGCAAGTCTGATTATTCAGGTTACACCAAATGACAAAATTACTGCCTCAGATGCTAGAAGAAGTTTTCTTTGAAGGAGAACACAACTTTTTGGCTACAGCTGCTTGCCATGGTGCTTATATGGAAGTGTCCAATACAGTCATTGTGAGGACACCCCATTTACACTGTAATCTGTAAAGATGTATTAGTTTTTGTATGCATTTAACCAATTGTATCAGTTAAAGCGGAAAGAGTAAATGCTTCAATTTTAGGGTATTTTAAGTTGCTAAGTGAAGCCATGTGGCAGCGAAAAAGGCTTGTTCCAGAAATGAGGATGATATCTCAATTCAATTCAATTTTATTTGTATAGCGCCAATTCATAACAGAAGTTATCTCAGGACACTTTTCAAATAGAGCAGGTCTAGACCGAACTCTTTAACATTAATTACAGAGACCCAACAGTACCACCATGAGCAAGCACTTGGCGACAAGGGCAAGGAAAAACTGCCTGTTAAAAGGCAGAAACCTATCTGTAACTGACAGATCCTTCGGCTCTAGGTGGGTGGTCGTCTGTCTCGACCAGTTGGGGTGAGAGAGAGAGAGAGAGAGAGAGAGAGAGAGAGAGAGAGAGAGAGAGAGAGAGAACGACAGACAGACAGACAGACAGGTGCATAGCAACAACAGTATTAGCAACGGCAATCTAGCAGGACCATGGCAGGAGGCTCCACCAGGATCGACAAGAACCTGCGAGACGAGAAAGCACAAGAACTCCGGGGAAGAAGTGAAGTTAGTAACATGCATAAATGGAACATGAATGAGTGCAGAAAGAGAGAGGAAGGGAGGAGCTCAGTGCACCATGGGAAATCCCCCGATAGTCTAGGCCTATAGCAGCATTACTAAGGGATGGTTCAGGACTCACCTGATCCAGCCCTAACTATAAGCTTTATCAAAGAGGAATGTCTTAAGCCTACTCTTGAATGTGGTGAGGGTGTCTGCCTCCCGAACCACAACTGGAAGCTGGTTCCACAGGAGAGGAGCTTGGTAACTGAAGGCTCTGGCTCCTGTTCTACTTTTAGAGACTATAGGAACCACAAGTCTCTCAGTGTCTTAGTAGTAGCAGACAGAGATACTACTGTGCCAACAAACCCCACCTTAACGTAACAATTATTATTACGTCTGATTCAGCAGTGATCAAAGGTTAAAGGTAGAAATCACTGGCTAAAAAAAAAACCTAAATATGGAGCCACCACCAGGTGTCATGCTCATGCCAACCAGAAGACTAGCTAACTTTACATGTAAAGACAGTTGGGTGTTTCATGCACAAAATCATTCTCTAACCATTTTTTTTAATGTCAAATTATGTACAAACCAACCTTGCAACTTCTGTCTAATGTACCATATTTTTGGTTTATTGAAATACATTATTGCAGCATGAATTTTTATATTATATTATTAATGGTATTGTTGTTTGTAGTCATTATTTATACTTTCTTTTGCCTTTTTTCTCCTTCCTGCATTCCCTCACATTTGCATAGATCAATGCTTTTATAATGTTTGGAGATAAAATATTGTTTAAATGTTATCCACTAAGTACAGTCCTGATAGTAGGGTGGTCATTTTTAAATGTAGCATACAAACAATGGCTAATTATAGGCCTATATACCTTTTTTTCTCGAAATTACGACTTTATTTTGATCATCTTAAGACTTTTTTTCTCTACATATATATTTTTACTCCCCCCACCCAATATGCAGGACCGTGTTTGTGTGTATGTGAAGATCTGTTTTTACAAATCCTGTAGCATCACCTCGTAAACCCACACTCCGACACGTGATTGGCTCGCCTTGCTCTCTCTCGTCCAATCACAAAGCCGCTCTGGCTCCGCCTGCCACATCACTAGCATGGCGGAACACGGAGCAGGAATTCCGCCTATGCGCCGATGACAGCGTCGTTGATGGGGGTAATACCGACTATGACCATCCTCTGGCAATACAGATCTGTTGCCCGGCGACGAGCGGCGATCCCTAAAGTCAACTAACCAGCTGAGAGCAACTTGGCAGCAGTTTATCCCCCCGGACACACACAGCTGTTTTGGGCCACCGGCTGGTGTCAGACTGGACAGACGGTGGATGAAGACGAGGGTTTGCCCTGATGCTCGGAGTTGGACCGGTGCCTTTTATCCACTTTGAACTCCTTGCTGGGATTAACTAGGCTAGCTAAGTCTTGTTGAAGAGTTTTAGAATATAAGATAATGGATTTGTTCGGGGTACTGCATCTGGACGAGCTGTCCCACGGGCTGGCAAACTTGTCCATGTTTCCATACTTTGACATGGCGCACTATATCGTGTCAGTCATGGCTCTGAGGGAGCAGCCAGGTAAGTGACGCAAAGTTCAAGCGCATGCTAAGTGAACACTCAGGAACTAACATTAGCATTTTATTTTCATCAACACCAAGCAAGTGTTTTGCTTTGTTTAGGCAAAAGTTTGTCCTGGTGGGATATTCTGGTATTTATTTCAGGTTTCCACCAGAAAAGCGGCAGTCTCAATGGATGTTCTGTAACTTAGAACAGTAACACACTTAAAGGGTAGTGACTACTGGGTGTGACATTAAGGACGTTGAATAACATTTTCCAAACCACCCTCGCTATCACATGAAACCTTTTATCTCATAGTAGCTTAATTGTTATTAAAAGCTACATGACACTCACATATTTATTAACAGATGTTTCTATTATTTTGTCCACCCCGTTTGTATCAGTAATGAGGGTAGGCTAAATAATAGAAACACCTCTTTATATATATATATATTTATGTATACATATGCATGTTTATATATAATAAGATATATCATAAGGAATTAAATAAATTAATCAGTAATCAGTAAAACACAATATTAGCTACAGCAGTCTGTGCATAAATGAATAACTCAATATTATCATTTGTTGAATTTCAGTGGAATGGTATAATTATGATATAATCATATCATGTTATCATTTTACAAACTATTGTTCCAAATAATAGTTCCACGTAAACTTTTACTATAAAAACTAACTAAATTATTCACTGTATAGTTTTGTTTTTCACTGTTTTATTACTAATGCATCAACGTGGTTGAGGTGAAGCTATTTCAAACTACTTTCTATACTGTTGTTTAATCTATAGAAATGGATTATAATTGATACATTGATCATATGTTAGAATATGTTTGTAAAATCCTAATCTGCAAATTGCAGCGGTGGAGTAAGAAGTAATTTCTCTGCCTTTAACCCATCCAAGTGTTAGGAGCAGTGGGACAAACTTCAGTTGTAGGCCAGTGCCTTGGTCAGGAGCACTGACAGGAGATTAATTGGGAGACTCCACTAGAGTAGCTTTGCATGATTCACTCTTCAAAAACATCCTTATTTATTTAATACTGGCCCTTCCCAGGTTCCCAGTTCATCCTCACATCTCTCTCTTTCTTTTTTGCCCACATGGATTACCTTTCCATACATTTACCTTATTATTTGACACATTGGCCTTGTTTAATATCAAAATCCAACATTATATATATGACAGAAACTAAGGAAAAGACATATTAGGTTCCCTTTAACCTAAAATACATGTTTTTGATGGTCGGGAAAACCCATGCAAAACTGCCCCAGGCAGGATTCGAATATTTCTAGTGCAACATTCCTGCTGAAATAAGGTTAAAGGGTTAAAGTATGAAAATAGCACTTGAAGTAAAGTGTAAGTACAGCACTTGAATAAATGTTGACAGTGGAAAAACATTTTCACAGTATCGTAGTAGCTGTATTAAGTAATTTGGAGACATTCGCCTGTCATCCATTAGTTTCTCATGTTTGTCCTCTTTGACTGACAAACACACAAACACACGTACGGTAACACATGAATGAAGCAGTCTTAGAGCACAAAGTGTCTCACTGAGCCACAGCCGATTGTATCAGCTCAGACCAAAGGCAGGCACCGACCCAACTACGTCACGTTACTGTGTCTACAGGGACAGGTGGACTTTTAACTGCACAGCCAGATGACTTTCCCACACACACACACACACACACACACACACACACACACACACACACACACACACACACACACAGACACAACCATACAAGAACACACACACAGTCCATTGTAGTCCCTCTGCTGTAAATCAACAGTCTATTTTCGAACTTGCCTCGCAAAGCATCTGAGCTGCCATGACCTTTTAACCCTTTGTCCTCTGCTCCCATCTATCTTTCTGTAGCTGAAAGACAGATACACAGAGAGTAAAAATATGTACAAACAAAATGCCATAGGTCAGTAAACACAACACAAAATCCTCCTAATTTCACTGTGTGTCCCCGTACAATCGGAATAAAAGTCAAGACTTAAAACACTCAGCCAGCTCCGGTCTTTCTTCTTCCCCAAAAAGGAAAGGAATGCCATAAACCATTCAACCCTCCCTTTCTTTTTCTCTTTCCTGTGTTAAATCTTCCCCTCCTGCTCTATAGTGCATCCAGTATTTGCAGTGCTGGAGCTCTTTCACAAACAAACAAGTATTTTCCTAAAAAAAATAAATTCAAGGAGACATAATCATTATTCCAAAGCTTCAAATAGGAAAATGAATAGATTATTAAACACAAAAACAAGTTTATTACATCGTGGAGTTATTTTAAGCAGATTTATAAACACTGCTGTGAGGGGATTGTATAGGACACAGGAGGACATGGAAATGCCAGAGGAGCAGTGGTTACATGTCAATCAGGGATTCAAGCCAAAAATAACCAGTGATAAGCCACTTTTTCTTCTCTACTGCTGTCTGTCACGTCTCCGTCCAACAGATGGAAGAAGAGAGGGGTAGAAGAAGTTCTAAGAAGGCGTTCAAAAGTTAAATAATAGGCAAAGGAAAATAAGGCCTTGGCTGAGGAGAGGTTGGGGTGAAATTAAGCAGAAAGAGCAATGGATGGACTGGATTATTGAATAGTAGAATTGAAGAAAATGGAACAACAGCCCTCCTTTGTGTTCATTTGTAAAGATGGACTTGTATGCATGTAAATAAACTCTAGTAAACATACTTATCTAAGAGCATTTACAAGTGGGCATTTACAAGTGGGCACTTTAAAATAAATTCACAGGCAAAACTGGCCTCAGATTACAATAACTATGGGAGCAGGCTCGGAAGAGAGAGAGATTTCCAAAAAGGGAACTGTCTTTTTGTTTTAATTCCTGGGAGAGACTGAGGAGAAGAGAGACAAGCCACAACATGAGCTCACTCTCAAACAATATGGAAGAAGACAAGGAAAGAGGAATTGAAAATCCAACCAACATACACCTTTTGGTGTACTTGTGCTTGTATTGCTCAGATTTGACTTGTAAATGTGTTTCCTTGAAATGCAAACCAGGAAACAGGATCTTGATCTTGTGAAGTTGTCTTTGTAGCCCAGCATGTGAGGGGCAGTCCGAGCAGTGTATTGTATTTCAGAGTATGCATTTCAGTTTCATCTATCCTATCATAAATGTTAAATTAAACACCGTTTTCGTGCCCCTTTAAAGTTGGTGTTCAGCCGGTCAGACACTGCAGCAGTTTGTTTTGCTCTGGAACTAGAAGTGATGACATAGCAATGCTGTTTACTATGTAAGCAATGTGCTGCTCTTGTGAACTGTGTGCCACAACTGCTGCAAAACCAAAAGCGCTAATACTGAGCACTGGGTAAGGATATGTATGACAGTCAGGCTAGACTGTTCACATATAGTATAACCGCTCTTTCCTGTCTTGAATTTCGGAAGCCACTTTTTTTTTTTCTTCAAACTTCCTCCTCTCCTAACTGTGGCATCTCATTTTGAACCACAAACGTTCATTACACCAGACTTCATGTACACATGAAAAGTTGTGTCACTGTTTTCAATTGCAAAATGTCCCCCTCTGACTCACTACTATTTATTTTGGAGTTGGAGAGAGAAACATGAGGTAAAGATACTGAAAGAGACAGGTGTTCTGAAAAAACAACAGGGAGTTAGTTATTGTAGTTTGGCTGGCTTACCAACATAGTCAGTAATTAGAGCAGCAGCAGTGGCTTGGACACTCATGGAGGCAGTTAAGATCATTTAAAACCCCTTGGAAACAGACATGAAACACATATTTTAGATTCAGTGTGACTTACACTTTCCGAGGATATCATCATCTTGGAAATAAATAAATAAACACATGAAAATCCATAAATCAGCTTAGAAATCATAGAAAAAAAGCAATTTCCCATAACTAGCAACCTAAAAAAATCTGTTTAATTGTTCGCTATATTTAGAATTTGACAAAAACAGTAATTTTCCTCGCAAAACACAGGAGTTGACTTCTGTGTTTTTACACATTAGTTCAAATCTGAACTTAAACTGATACTGATTTCTTTTTAGGTGGCAAAAATATGTTTTTCTGCTGGAATAATACTTTAGATGCCACTACTGGCTTAATAGCTTCTAGTTACTTTAAATATCACATTGAAAAAAGGTTAATAAAATACTACACATTGTTAAGATTAAACCAGTGGTGTCCAACTATTTGGCTTGTGAATTCCTACAAAAGACGTCGGGTTTGGGCTCTTTGCCATGTTTCAGATGTCTACGAGTTGTCAGCAATTCTGACAAAGACAGACTTGCCAAAGTTTTATTTGAATAACCGTTTGAATCCCTAAGAGGTAAAATTATCCCTTATTTCACACAGAAGTAAAGATTACAGAAAGGTCATAGCGAGATTTCTTCTTTCCTCTCCCATTAATCAACTCACAACCCCTCAGAATTATCTGGTGACCCTTGAAGGGAGTTTGACCCCCTAGGTTGGAGCACTTATCTTTTCATTCTATTGTACTGTCAGAAATAATAATATTCTGTCGCTGATTTAGAAACTTAAAAACAGTCATTTGTAACTTTGTACATTTTTTAAATGGGTGATAAATTAAGTTGCTTCTCCATCATTTCCACATTCTTTTAGAAATGAGAGGAAATTTAAAAAGGGAGCGGCACTAACTGAATTCATGGGGAGTCTGCAGAGGAGGCAGGTAGAGCTATAAATCCTTCTAGTGTACCTATCTCTCTCCAGGAGTCTATAATCTGTCTGTAATCCTCAGATTACCAGTATGGTCCTGTGTGCGGCCATAGTGACTCAGGGCAGGTGGCTCAGGCCTTACCTGTCTCAGGTTAAGTGAAACACATATATCATAGTGTACGTTGGCAGCAGCAACTTTGGTAGAGTCAGAGAAGTCAGCGTGAGATAGTGCTGGACTATCTCTGCAAAGATCGATAAAGTTATATAAAGGATGTACAACATCTCTGTGTTAGTAATTTACAGTAAGAACATAACATAATATTATAAAACAGCAGTTCACATGCTTTTTGAGTTTCCCATAACTCATCTTGTTGCTGTACTTAGGGTGTAAATGCTTTCAGTGGAAAGAGGAATACAGTGTGCTTTTTAAACAGGGTGGAACACAGAGGAAGCTTTGAGCGGCTGATGGTTATCTGCCCTGAACTGATATCATTTGTAACTGTAAATGTCTTGCCTCTGCCTCTCTGCACTTTGAACTGTAGGCCCAGATGCAAATAATGTAACAGTGCTCTGCAATTTCTCTCTCTTTGTTGCGTGTATTTGGTAACTCTAACTAGTTAATAATTATACAGTACTCAGGATTGGGAGAAGCATGCATCAGATAGGGAAAAGGACAAAGTATCAAACTCCACTGTCTTCTTATACCCTGATATACTGAGATACTGTAGACGTCACAAATGGCCTTTTTGTCTAGACTACATGTTTCTCATATCCACAAACTCCTTAAGTATTCACTGTAATGGAGGGATTTATGTAATGACAGTAATCATTCCTAGGTTTAATGCTTATTATGGTGAGCATTCAACAACAGTGATTGCAGGTTGTTCTCAGGCTTTTACAGACCCTGTAGGAATACCTTGTGTGCGAAAAATATACCACCTATAGGGGACTCGAGGAGTGAGCGGTGATCCTGCTAATATACTTCTGTTCTTGTGCAGGCGCTCTTGAGGTCTCCAGGGTCAGCCCCATAGCCTGCTGGTTCAGCTCCATGCTCTTCTGCTTTGGTGGAGCAGTGCTGTCCGGGATCATGCTGGCCGAGCCAGCTATCGCACCTTTGTCTAACAGCACCAGTGTTCTGCTTGCTTCGATCATCTGGTAAATATCTGATACTGGGAAATATAGTATGTAATTAGAATAATAAGAATAATAATAAATGTTATTTGTATAGAACCTACGTTACAAAGAGCTTCACAACTGCAGAATAAAAACAGAATCCAATGAAATGACAATCAAATAAAAGCATTATAAAATAAGAATCAATTAAGATAAAGTATACAATATTAAAACATATTAAAAGTGTATTGACTATTAGACATAGATAGCAAGGAATTTATTGAGTAAAAGTGAATTCAAATGAAGTGAAAGAGGACAAAGATGTGGATAGAGAAAATAGTGAGAGGAAGTGAAGCAAACATGGAAAGGATTAGTGAAAGGCCCTCTGCAACTTTGAGGAAAAGGGATACACAAACATGTCTATGTCCCTTTCTCCATGCACCCACAGAGCAAAACACAGAATAATAAGGTTGTCTTCAGAATAAATGTGCAACTGCTTAATTTCCTGTAATACTGAGCATGAAATGTGGAAAGCATTGAATGCAACAGAGGGGTCATTGTGAAGTTCTAACCTCTTAATATGAATCCTTTGGTGCCCTCTACTGGTGGCACATATAATTACACTCTTTTCACAAAAAATAAACAGTGCCCTCTGCTGGTGAAATTGGCTACTTGACAGAGACTGGCAGGTGATACTGTGAGAAATGTTTAATGAACACATAGTTTACAAACAGCAGGAAGCTGAAGTGGTTGTGTGTGTGCACTATTTATTTGAGCCATATGTGTCTCTACAGGTACCTAGTGTTTTACTGCCCCATGGACCTGGTGTACTGTTGTGCTGCCCTGCTGCCTCTCAGGCTGGTGCTGTCAGGAATGAAGGAAGTGACCAGGACGTGGAAAGTGCTTGGAGGGGTCACCCAGGCACACAGCAAATACAAGGACAGTCTGCTGGTTATGATTGCCATCGGGTGGGCTAGAGGTCAGTAGCCGATGGTACACGCTGAAGGTGTTTCATGATAAGATAGTTTTATTGGAGCTATGAAGTAACACATTTTTTTTGTGTGTTTTAATCAATATCAAACACATTTTATATATGACTGTATCAACCGGATGTCTCTTTTCTACCTCCACTAGGTGCTGGAGGTGGTCTAATAAGTAATTTTGAGCAGCTTGTTCGAGGTGTATGGAAACCAGAGACTAATGAGCTCCTCAAAATGTCTTAGTAAGTCTTCTATTGGACTCTGTTGATATATATATGCACAGATTTAACAAACCAGATATAAAAAAATTGAGCTTTAGTTACTGTAAATGGATTTTTTTTACCGTTGGAGAGAGCCAGGATAGCTGTTTTTTCCCCCCTGCTTGTAATCTTTATGCTAAGCTAAGCTAACCAGCTCCTGGTTGTACCTTTATATTCACTGTACTGACATGAGAGTGGTACAGATATTCCTATCAATTCTCAGCAAGAAAGTGAATATTTCCCAAAATGTCAAACTATTCCGAAGATGGAGACAGTCAACAAAGCAGAGGGCATTGTACAGCTGGCACCTGTGTGTGTATGGAAATCTTACCAAACATGTTCTCTTTGTTACCTTAAGGCAACATTAAAACCAATTTGAGTTATGGACTCATGGGGTACATACAGGGTTTGTCTCCAATTTAGTTAATCTCTGCATAATATTTCAAGCATATGAAATGTCTTTCAAGTGTGTGCATAAAGTTATTATCACCCTGGCTGTCTTAGATGTTCTAATATTTTTGTTGATATATCACAACGGCTCTCTATATGTCTCTCTCTGTATGTTTCTGTAGCCCCACCAAGATCACCCTCATAGGGGCAGTGCTGTTTGCTCTGCAGCAGACCCACTACCTGCCTCTCCAGAAGCACCACCTGATGCTCATCTACACCATCTTTACCGTCGTCAACAAGGTCAGTCTTGTGCATCATACCTGATACTGTGACCTTGAGAATGTATACCCAAGGTGCTAGTGATTTAAATACAAAACATGAAGGCATTTTTGGTCAATTTAATTGCTTACCTATGACAAAGAAAGCCATTTAATACCATTATTTGTCTAATTCGATCTGTAAAAGATGTTTTGGTGCCGTAGCTTCTTCCAGATCTGTGGTGTCCTGTCTTCTAAATGACCTTTCTCCCTCTGCTTTTTTGAAGTTTTAGCTGATGTGACTCACATTAGCTCGGTATTACCCGTAGGGCTGGGGCTTTTGCATCATTTTCATCAGCTTGCATCATCCTCTCTTCTCTTCTCTGGGAAACTTGTGCTCTTGACTGAGACACAGATAAATCTACCATGTCTTCTTTCAACTCTCATTCTGTTAGCTCCCTCTGACTCTGATCTGTCAAATTACCACCAAGCCATTTCATCAGATTTAAGAGATGCGTCCAAACCTGTTGTTTATTATTTTTTGTTCCCAAATGATGCAGATGTTATACTCTCATCCCCTAATAAGAAGTAGATACAAATATCTACTTACTCCGTGTGTTTATATGTAAACTAGACCAATGTCACATCCATGAAAACATGACAAATTACATACTTTTGGCATGTTACTTTTTTATATATATTTTTAAATCTATTACCCACAAAAATATATAATGCTTTGAGACAGGACAGTGTTAGGCTAACATGACACATTAAAACATTCACATATACAGACATAAGACTTCTTATCACATTCATCTAAATAAAGTAATTTGCCTGAAAGGAGAATATGATAAACCTGAAATATCACTTTTTTGGCCACTTGGGGACAGAGGAACAAGCTGTAAACACAACACTGACATTATTACAATCATTATCATGACACCTCACTAGTTTGGAAATGATTGCACACATATTCTGTTCTAAACCTATAAACAAATTTATCCCCCCTTTCTCTATTTTTTTTTAGTCAAGGATGATGCTAACAGGCTCCTCCACCTCACCATTCGCTGGCATTGAGTCGGCCATCTACAAGACCCTCTTCACTGGCTGCTCCCCTTATGCCGCCCTCACCGACGACTTAAAGAAAGCATGTATTGACAATAGCACAACCGACACGGCAACCTCCACTTCCACAACCAAAGAATCAAGTGAGAATGGAGCAGCGGGGAATCACACTCCGGTTTCTCATGACAAGGGACAAAGTGCATCGCTCAAAGCCAAAGAAGAGTCAGAGAACGCAGAGACTAGCTGCAAGAAGACCGACTAGTCAGCCTCTGCCCCATAGCGCCTTTTCACCTCTAAGCAGGGTTGTGGAGTCATTTTCTGATTCACATTTGTCACGTCAGGACCTTAAACTTTCTGACTGCTGAAAACAAATTCCAAAGGGAGCTGACTCCGGGCGCCCCGGTTGGCTCAGTCGGTGGAGCTAGCGACCCATATACGCAGTGGCCCGGGTTCGAATCCGACCTGCAGCCCTTCGCTGCATGTCATCTCCTCTCTCTGCCCCCCTTTCCTGTCTATCTCCAGCTGCCTATCAAATAAAGGCATAAAGGCCAAAAAAATAATACTTTAAAAAGAAAAGGGAGCTGACTCCAACCAACCCTGCACCTTATTGTTGGATAATCAACCCCATCCTTAAAGTACTGTGATTTTTATGCTGTCGGATGTGACCATCATACTATCGTTGGACTGATTGCACACTGTGTAGCCTAATTTATATTTATAATGGGTACAAGATCTTAATAATTCTATCTCTGGGTTTTGGGAACAGTGCTGTGCACCTTCTGATCTATGAATGTCTATATATATTTTTCTTTGTATATATTGGACTGAATGTAAATGCTATATTTCCTACTCTGACATAGTTCGAAACATTTTTAAAAGAGAGATTATATTCTATGACACAGATGTTTTATCCTATTTATACTAAATAATTGCACTCTTGAATGTATAACAGTTTGAAATGAAAGACATTTTATTGTAGTCTGTCTATGGCAAATGCTTTGAATTACATATGAAAGCATGAGAATAAACAGGTTTTAACACACTAAAATATGTGTGGTTTGATTTCTGGCCTCTCGCCTCATCAAAAAGATTTGTACAGTTCAGTGAACATGGACCCAACTCAATATTACCTCACTTTAAAGCATCAAACAGATCATTAGGTACAATTTTAAATTAGTATGTCCCTGACAGAACGCTCTCTGTTCGCCACTGGTAAGATGATATAAAGCAGAACAGTGTCCAGTAGTAACCTCGTCTATAGGCTGAAACATTGCATCAGTGTAACATCAGCACCTGATTGATACCTCACCCTCTTTAAAAAGCTGCAGGAGAGAGATCCCCCAAATCCCCCCCAATTCTCATCTATGAAACCTCAGACGGCGGAGAACCCCCATGTGAATACAAATTAAGAACAGAAAGAGAGGGAGTGTTGTTTGAGCAAAAGGAGAAGACGTTCAAAAGACGATCAAAAGCGATACTGGTTGAGATGGTGTACCTGTCTTCAATATGCCTCAAGTCCACAGATGTATGCATGTCAGTTACAGGCTCGTACCTCAAAATTGTTTCCTGCAACACGGCTTTGTGTGTGCGTGTGCGTGTGCGTGTGTGTTGATCTTCCTGACTCTAATCGTGAACTGTGTGACCTGAAAAACTGAAAGACACGTTAATAAGCCACTTTTTTTCCTTACGCTGCCTCCTATGACGAGAAGGCAGGTGACATGACGGCAGCTCAGAGCCTGAAAGTTCCCAGACAATTTTCTTAATGAGGTCCGGACCTGTATGACCCCCCTCCACAATTACTCACTGAACTGAACCCCCCCCCCCCGCTGTCTGGCCTCCCCGCTCCCTGCACTTCACCTGCCCTAAAGCACATCTCCTTAGCCCTCTTTTTATCCCCAGACTTCTGCCTTTTTTTCCAGTTGTCAGATGCAGAAAATTAATCCTTAAATGTGTGCACACAAGCTGTCTTACACAGACATACATACAAATTAAATGCATGCACAAATTCCTATACACTTGACATTAAACCTACAGTGGCGTCTGAGTAGAGGTTATGGATATAGCAAGGACGTGGCATACTATGGCTCAGAAATATCAGATTTTCCTCCACATAGACACAATGCAAGTACACTGTATGCACACACATTCCTATACACATGACTTTGAACCCACAGCGATGTCTAAGTAGGTCAGGGACATACCGAGACCATGGCATACTACCCACAAACAAATCCACAGCAGAAACAGATGCACACGTAGAAAGAAAGTCAGCCTGGCTAAATACTGTGAAGCCATCAGGGTATGTCCGACACTGACAGCTTGAGTCTGAGACCTGTTTTGTTTTTTGCTTTTTCTTTATTCTTTCGTCAACATCACCACCTGGTATGTTATTCAAACATCTAGGAGAAAGCTAGTGATATTCTATTTTTTCTTAATGTTGACACATTCCACAAAAAGAGCATTTTGATACAATCTCATGTAAGCTACAGCGGCTGAAAATAGTTCCCCACAAATGTACTTTTTACTCCTGCTTGAGTAACATTTGCTGAAAACTACAGAACCAAATCATTTTCTGAAATCACTTATCTTTTTTTTTTTTTTTAAATAAAACAATATGTTTGTTGAGATTTACATCTTCAGAATGAGCTGGGGGCTGAGTGTCATGTGTCAGAAAGCATTGCCAAGCAGAATACAACACAGTTGGTCCGTCTGTTAATGGGATTTATTGTTGCTAAAAATAAGTTTTGCACTTTTTGTGGGGGAAAACATTCACGACTTGCAGAATCAGAGACATCTTTTAAATCACTTCTCTAAATTTATTCTTCTTCTTTTTCTTCTTCTATTACGGGTATGTCTTTTCTTTATCATCTATAATGTCACACATAGTGGATTTACAAAAAATGTCACATAAAGCAATAAAGGTACCAGGTACAACCAACCTTCTTCTTTTTTTTGGCTCTTTTCATGATGTGGTTTTATTATATGGCTTGAACCTTCAGCTCAAACACACACACACACTGATTTTTCTAACTCCATCAGTGAAGCTCTAAACACTTTTGGTAGCATCTTAACTGCCACTGCTGCCTGGAGGATTGAGCCCCCGTTGCTGAGTGGTGCAGGACAGGTGATTACCACTTGGTGGCGTGAGGAAGCATCATCTCTGATGGCTTGATGCCTGGGAACTGACAGGCTGGCCAGCAGCTGCAGGCAAGAGGGGATGGGGACAGGAGGGGACCCTCTTTGCAGAGCCAATGGTAGCTGCCTGCACGTGTGTGAGTGTGTGTGGTCTGGTTTAGCTGAGCTTGTGGGGCTTGACTTTAGACATTTCCCTATTCTTGTGAGGACATTTTAAGTTGTGAGGGTATTTTGGATGACCCAAAAGGATGATTTTTAGGGTTAGTGGTTCAAGATGCACTCCCTTAGAACTCATAAACTCCAAAATTACTTTCTAGATGTACTGAAAGTCAGCTGAGAATTTTAAAAAGGGAATTTTATGGGGCTTTCAGGGACTCTTTGTTTTACGCCCTCACTACTGTCCTCTTAAGTTTAGCAAAAACCAGCCAACTTGTATGTAGATATGAGTGTGTGCTTGAGTTTGTCCGTGTCGGTGCATGTGCATGTGACACGTAGAGTGGCAACAATGGCTGAGTCCATGGAAAAGGCACAAAGAGCTCTGGGGCACACACACATGCACACCTACACACACACACACACACACACACACACACACACACACACACACACACACACACACACACACACACACACACACACACACTCACCAAATCCTAACCACCAGAGTGGCCCTTTGTTTTCCTCTCTTTCTCCAAAGAAACAAACATGACCCACACACACATTCACACATCTGCTGTCACCACATCCTTGCTCATTGTTAGCCGATGGTTGTCTGAATTTAATTAGTTGTTGTTTAACCATTTTTTTATTTTGGCGATAAGACAAAAATGTATCTACAATGAGCCTTTTTTTTTTTGCTTAATTCCAGTCCATTCTCAGTCGTCTCATTTTGACCAACCAGACCTCCCATCACGCCATGAAAATGACTGTGAAAGCGTTAAACTAGCTGCAATCTTCTGGCTTGTGGCTGTGCACCTGCTCCAACTCTGTGGTGTCTAAACGTGATGTCTCACGCTGGACGTTGTTTGGCCTCTCACCACTTACTGACATGATCTCTACTGGTTACTGTGTGCATCCGCTCTCCTCTGAGCTGATGTCTGCCATGGATGATATATCAACTGAAGAGGCAAAAACTAATGGAATAAAAAGTTTTCATAGGTGCTAATTACAGTAGCAGCAAAACACACGGTTTAATAATTATTTTCCACTGACAACTTCTTCCTTTCGGGATTTTTTTTGGAAATGATCAAAGTGTTTTTTAATCCAAAGTTTTGTCAAATGACTCTGTGGGTGATGCAATCAACCTCATTATCTCTTCAAGTGAGATGAAAGTAAGAGGAGAACTGCTAGGGACCACACAGGAAAGGACTCAGTTCGGGAAGTTAGGGAGAAAGAAGGAGAAAGGCAAATAGAGGATAAGAAAGAAAGAGAGGGGAAAACAGTAACTGGAAGAGAAGAAGAGGAAGAAGAAGAAAAATGTGGGGATCACATAGGAATGGGGGAGTCATATCAGGACATAATGACAACATTATGGTGCTGTGTTAATGACATCTCTCTTTCTTTCCTTCTCTCTCTCTCTCTCTCTCTCTCTCTCTCTCTCTCTCTCTCTCTCTCTTTCTCTCTCTTTCTCTCACACACACACAAGCACACACTTAGATTCACACAGCAGTCTCTTCATAGAGCTCCAACCGAGAGCCAAACCAAACGGCCAATGTCTACCACCATTCAAGATCTGACTTGTAAAGAACAGCTGCAAGGAGAATGCAAAAAAATGGAGCTACTGTAACCTGACTAGCAAGTTGGCTGTGTGTCTGTGTGTGTGTGTGTGTGTGTGTGTGTGTGTGTTGGTGTGCATGAGAAACAGAAACACTGGAGAATGAAAGGGTTTCCTAGAGCATGTAGGTTCTTCACTTACTTTGCATTTAAATTAGCAAACATTTGCATATCACTTTTTACTTTATATTGAGTTGTTCAAGAAGCATAAAACATCTGTTATAGCAATGTGTGTTTTTGTTTGATATACTTCCCATGAATCTCAGATTAAACTGGATTTTTGGCAGGATAACAGAAGTTATGTTTCAGTTTAATACAGCAAAAGTAAACATTTTTCATTGAATTTTGTGGAAACATATTGTTAACCTGGTTTCATACCTACAACATATAGGAAAGCACACTGTATATGAAAACTGAAGAGCATAGAGTATTAACACACCTCTCAATACAACAATACACTAAGTGCAGCCTCAAACGTGTCCATAGAGATAAATAAACACCTCTCTGACTTGGTGTCAAGAAAAACTAGACATGATAACCTTCACAAAGATGTGCTGTGTTGCAGGGGCATTGTACTGGATTACATTATATAGAACAGACATGCCTGAAAAACTTGTAACTTTGTTTATGACTGGACTGAGCAATAACTGCAGCCCTTTTACTGTTGGTGCTAAGGCCCTCTGACTTGGTCTTGCACCAAAAATATGTTGCTTTTCCACCGATGAAAAGTTTATCTGGATCCAACTACTGTAACTCACAGTACATTAAATTATCTACATAGCTATGTGTAGTATTTTACTTTTATTAGATTCACTATCTTGGAATGACAAGTATGTTTTGTATACTGACAATAAAGCTGAACTGAATTGAATTAATCAAATACGCCATTTGTTTCATTTTCAAAATGCTCCACATAACTTTTATTCTTGAGAAAAGAAATCTTAGGAGTTGCTTGGATTTTTTTTAAAGTGGCTATTATTTATATGTATCAAATAACAATGTGAAAGCAGTGTGACAATGCAAAACAGGTACACTCATAGTGATGAACCTAAAGAGAATATTGATAAAGAATAATGAAAAACTGTTTCAGCAGCAAGCAACAACTCAAATATGATTCAATATGATCAAAGTCTTCAACTG